GTAGATATCAGAGAATATATCTGGAAAAAGGAGTAATAAATAAGGGTTAATTTAGTAGATAATGGAGAGTATATCTGGAAAAAGGAGCTATAAATAAGGGTTCATTGAGTAGATAACGGAGAGTATATCTGGAAAAAGAAGCAATAAATAAGGGTTCATTGAGTAGATAACGGAGAGTATATCTGGAAAAAGGAGCAATAAATAACGGGTTCATTAGTAGATATCGGAGAGTATATCTGGAAAAAGAAGCAATAAATACGGGTTCATTCAGTAGATAACGGAGAGTATATCTGGAAAAAAGAAGCAATAAATAAGGGTTCATTTAGTAGATATTGGAGACTATATCTGGAAAAAGGAGCAATAAATAAGGGTTCATTCAGTAGATAACGGAGAGTATATCTGGAAAAAGAAGCAATAAATAAGGGTTTATTTCTCATTCCCTTACAGACTTGACATTTCAGTCATATAACAGTATAGCTTCTGTGTTCTTTCTCATTCCCTTACAGACTTAAGCTATACTGTTATATGACTGAAATGTAGAACACAGATTTCTCATTCCCTTACAGACTTAAGCTATATTGTTATTGTTTTAAATCTGTGGGTCGCTGGTTCAAATCCTGTCAATGTACATATTCGCCCTTTCAGCCATGGAGGCATTATAATATCATGGTCAATCCCACTTTTTTTGTCAGTAAAAGAGTAGCCCAAGATATTGTGGTGAGTGTTGTTGACCAGCTACCTTCCCTCTAGTCTCCTCTCACTTCAAAATTAGGAATGGCTAGTGCAGAAAGCCCTTGAATAGCTTTGATATTCAGGTTATATTGCATGACACTATTTTATCTCTATAGAATATATTCGAGTATAAATAAACAAAACATATTCAGGAACAAAATAAATAAAATGAATTATACCAGAATATTTATTGAAAATATTAAGTATAGAATGCATGAAGTAAACAGTTTTTTCTGACACAACTAAGATGTACTATATGTGTATATATTATTTTTCTCTAGACTTTGAAGAACAAGGATCTTTTGAATAGAATGCGTGAAGTAAACAGTTTTTTCTGACACAACTAAGATGTACTATATGTGTATATATTATTTTTCTCTAGACTTTGAAGAACAAGGATCTTTTGAAAATAAAGAAAGAAGATTTAAACACTCTACTCAGCTACACCTGCTTAAGGTTAAAAGAAAAAGTAAGAACTTTTGTTTAACTTATAGTGATGTGTGAATATGATGTAGAGCTAAGTGATTACTGGTATTTGTTAGTTGATTTATTGATCATCATCATCATTTCTCATAGTCCTTGCGGACCATTGAGCCGATGGCAGATCTCTGTCATTACTTCCTAGCCCAAAAACCACGTCTGTTTTGGGCTGTCCTAACAGCTGTTATGATGTCTGAATTACACCAATCCTTGACATCATCAAGCCACTTCCGCCTGGGACGACCTCTTCTTCTTCTTGATCCTTCGACCGTACCTAGCAGAACTGTTTTTATTAATCTGCTTTCTTTCATCCTGTAGATGTGTCCGAATAAGCCATGTTTCCTTTCCTTCACTTTCTCCGTCACCTCTTTTTGTCTCTTAGTCATTTCTCTGATTCTGACATTTGTCACATACTCATTCCAACGTATTCCCAAGATTTTTCTATAGCACTTCATCTCAAAGCTGTTTAGCCTTTGCATGTCTCTTTTCTTTAGAGTCCAGTTTTCACATGCATATAGTAGGCTTGAAAAGACACAGGTGTCTAACAGTTTGAGCTTGGTGGCCATTGTAATATTCCTGCTCTTCCAAACATTCTTCAGATTTTCAAACATGCCTGTTGCAATTCCAGTTTATTGATAGCCTCATTAATCGATTATAATTGATTAGTACATTGTTCCTCCAACCTTGATATGTACATGCAAAGAAAAAATAAACAATTAGCAGCCAGAGCGTGACAGTGGCAGATAGACAGGGTGAGCAAATCTGGTGGTACTATTTCAGTTACTTGGATAGTTTTACATCCAATAACAATAGCTTCATCTTAATTTGTTTCATGCGTTTTTCTACAAATTATAATATAAAACAAGTCACAAAAAGTTAGAAAATGTGTTAACTTGGTTTAATCGTGTCAGTTGAAGTAGTTAGGATTAAAACAACGGTAAAATACATTACATGTAATTAAAAATTAAAGTTTTGAAGACAGAGAGAACAATGATAAAGAGATTTTTCCACATTATTTTATTTATTTATATTTTTTCCGTAACTAGACTGTCAAGCCTATTTTGATATAAATGTGAAATTCTAAGACTGATATAATGCAATCATTGTGCATTTAGAGAACATATATCAAGCGTGTTTGAAGTTTATTGCTGTTTATTTCATTTTTTTTCACGTCAATGAATCTCAAGAAGAAGCACATGCACACAGTGGCTTTAATTTCATGTTAACCCTTTCCAGCCTGGTTATCTCTTGATTTTACAGGGGCAAAATGAGGGCATCTGTGTAATTACTTTCCCTAAAATTACCTATAAAATAAATCTGTTACCGAAATGTTGTAATTTCCAATTTTCTTTTGTTCTGTGTTTTATTTGAAAAAAAAAAAGAGCCTGAAATCTGTAAAGTTTGTTACTTATTTTTTTGGCTTAAATTATTTGAAAACAGCAAATTTCTGAAGGTGGTGATTTCAGGAACTAAAATTCACCTTTCTAAATATTTTTTTTATAATGTTCAAGTTATGAAGCTAATACACTCCAAATACGTCATCAGGATGTGTGTGTTTATTCTATTACTAGCAATCTATTTGTCCCAGAGCTCTCTCAGTTCCCTTCATCAACTGTCATGTTTTGTCCAACAGACACGAGAACTTCATAAGATGCCTCAGACAGAGGACGACCGTTGGAAACAGTCTCATCTTATTCATACAAAAATGGACTTGATTACTATGGAAGAAAAGACACGTATCCATAGTTACAAAAGTCTTGAAGAGTTTGAAGTCGATGCACGGAACATTGTTCACAATGTTGTCATCTATTATGGAGGTAAATACCACTTTTCATGCTTTTGTAGGTCATGTATTTAGGATGAAGTCTTAAGTTTCTTTTTTTTTATATTTTCACTCTTTTTATAATTATGTTTATCATGTGTTGGTGGGTGTGAGACTGTTCCATTCATGTTATATTAGACAAGATAAAACAGTGAGAAGTTGATTGATATTTGTGAATGTCTTACACCTGCTTAATAGTTTATAACATTGAGTGTTGTTTGGAAGAGACAAAACTCAGTGTTAAAGTTGAAATAAAAATGAAACCCTTTCTGTACTTATGAAGATAAAGAGTTGATTGTTTTTAGCAGGAGAATTAATGGGTTTGTATGTCTCAAATTAAAGACAGTGAAGGAAAGAAACTGTATTCGAATAAAAAAAAATTTCTATGATCACCAGGAGAATGTAAAACAAACATGAGATTTCCACAATTGTCACAAGACAGAAATATATGTGGCTTAAAACTTCACAAGTATGTTCACAGCTGCCCAGTCAGTTCATTAAAATATGGAAGAACCTTTACTCCATGTGATAGACGTAAAGCAATCCTCTGTACACAAAGATACGATACAGCTATCCCATTAAACAGTAGGTAGCTTCCATGATCAGACCCTCCTGTAACACATTAGACTGAATTCAGAATGTTCGAAATCAGAATTTAAGAAAAACTTTTCTAGGTTCAAATTATAGTGTATTAATAGTATGGTACACCTTAACTATTGTATAAATGTTGTTGACAACTTCAGGGGATGAAGCATGTTTATGATAAACGTACTACAATTTTACGTTTATAATAAACGTACTACAATTTTACGTTTATAATAAATGTACTACAATTTTACGTTTATTATAAACATACTACAGTTTTACGTTTATAATAAACTTACTACAATTTTACGTTTATAATAAACGTACTACAATTTTGTAAAGGTATATTATTAACCTTTTCCAAACCTGTGAGCATCTCTCAGTCCCGGGACATGATTTTCCAGTAAATATTTCAAATGATATATACTAGCTGGTTCCAAGAATTATGCCCATGACATAATGTAGGACTTACCTGAAATAGAAAAAGTTAAGTATCAGTATGTTTCTGACACATTTGAACTTGTCATTTCTGATGTAGAAAATAACTATTCTCTACTTTATATTAAAACTTTAACCCAGTTTCGGATACAGCAGCAATAGGTTTCATTTCAAAAATTTTGAAGCTGTTGTAGAATTTCTATCAAAAAGCCTAGAATTGAATTCATTACTCTGAATAAACAGTTTTTATAAAATTTAACTTTCAATATTTGTAACAAATATAATGGTCACTTATAGTTTAACTTTCAATATTTGTAACATATATAATGGTCACTTATAGTTTAACTTTCAATATTTGTAACAAATATAATGGTCACTTATAGTTTATAAACTCTCAGCATTTGTAACAAATATAATGGTCACTTATAGTTTACAAACTTTCAGTTTTTGTAACATATATCAGTAGGACATTAAGCCTTCAACTATTTTTACAAATGTTTATCTTATTCCCAATTTAAATGTTGGGTTTGATCCAAGTACTAACCTGTTCATGTACAGTAAACAAAGGTATTGTTGGTAATCTCTAAAGAAGGATTATTTCATGGAAAGTTAGTTTGATTTTTTAGTTAATAGTGTAATGGCAGATGTGGCAAGGCAGATGTTACGAGACTGTATCTACGATTTGGCGGAGATTCGTCAATGTAAAGATTGTTATCGCATGTCCAATGAAAAGCTAGACAAACTTTGGTTTTGTCAACCTTGTGTAAGTATGTAAATAAATTATAGAATTTAAAGAAAGTTCTGTGTTGATGATAATATACATTTCACTTGTATTAAACTAATTTGTTTATTATGTAAAGTAGCGCGATAATAACTCGTTAATCGATAATGGTTTCATGTACAGGAAATCTTCATTAGATAAAAAAAAGGAGGATTAGGTCAGAAAATATGTATTAAATGTTTTCTTCATCAGAGTTCTAGAAGTAAAAAAAGTAACATATTTAAGTTTACTCTTTGTATACAAATTATTCATTGTTTGGTATTTTTACTTTTGGTATAACAATTGTAAGTAACTTTGGTACCCATGGTAACAGTTAGGGGAGCCAAAAAAGCTTTAGTTTTATATTTTGTTCTAAACAATGCTGAACTACTCACACTAATTACATTCTGTGGAGAAGAATGATATCCAGTTTAGAATGACTGTGTTTTACATTCTGTGGAGAGGAACAATATCCAGTTTAGAATGACTGTGTTTTAAATTCTGTGGAGAAGAACAATATCCAGTTTAGAATGACTGTGTTTTAAATTCTGTGGAGAAGAACAATATCCAGTTTAGAATGATTGTTTTAAATTCTGTGGAGAAGAACAATATCCAGTTTAGAATGATTGTGTTTTAGATTCTGTGCAGAAGAACAATATCCAGTTTAGAATGATTGTGTTTCACATTATGTGGAGAAGAACAATATCCAGTTTA